AGGGCCAGCTATGCCGTGCTCCTCACTCCTCCTTGCTTCACCTTACCACTGCACCACTCTAGACCCTGCACCTAGACGTCTAAGGCACAGCCCCCATCCCCGGGCCACGTCAAGAGCGCTACTTTCTAGTGCTTGTCAACAACTACACGTGCTACACTACGATGTTTCCGTTCGAGTGTAAGGCTGACGTGCCTGACGTCCTTATCCCATGGGTGGTCGCTGCGCGAGTCCACCACCGCCTCCCGGTGATGTGTCTGCACTCTGACCGTGGTGATGAGTTTGCCTCCGGTGGGCTTGGCCAGTTCTGTCGTACGCAGGGCATCATCCAGTAATACACCATATCAGACTCCCCACAACAGAATGGGGTCGCTGAGTAACGCATCGGTTTGGTCATGGAGGTGGCTCGTACCTCCATGATCCATGCCGGTGCACCCCATTTTCTGCGGCCATTCGTTGTTCGCTACGCCGCTCACCAGCTTAACTGGTGGCCGCACTCCTAGCGGCCGCAGGTTTCGCCGATCCTCCTCTCGACCAAGTCCCCTCCTGATGCGTCTGCGTTCCACGTCTAAGGCTTCCTCTCTCATGTTCGTGCCTCTGGCATGGACAAGCTCATTGCCCGCACTGTCCCTTGTGTCTTCCTTGGCTTCACCCTCGACACGTCTGACAGGCACTTTTACCACCCGCCGTCTCACCGCTTCTTTCAGTCACGTGACGTCACTTTTGACGAGTTTGTCTCCTTCTACCACCGCTTTCCCCACCAAGGTCTCCCGCTTTCCCCACCCCTGTTTGTGGTTCCCACTCCCCCGGTAGCCCCTGCTCCTCACCCTCCCCGTCCTACCCTGTCTTATGTGTCTCACGTCACTCCCCTCCCATCGGTTGTCCTGGTCGAGGAGTCGACTGACTCTGGTGGCCCCGCGGCACCATTCTCGCAGCCTATCTCCGCCCCGGTGTCTCCTCCTCCACCGTCGCCGCAGCAGCAGTCATCGTCACCGTTGCAGCTGCTGCTGCAGCCGCAGTCGCCGCCGCCGCAGCCGCGACAGGGGTTCGCGAGCTCTGGTGGTGCGGACGTTGAGCAGGGTGCTAGTCCTGGGGTTACTGTCGTGGCTTGTCCCGGCGGTCCTGAGGTGGCACAGGTGTTGGGGAGAGTTATGGATTTCGGGGTGCTCGTTCTGAGGGTGCTAGTCCTGGGGTTAATATCGTGGCTTGTCCCGGCGGTCCTGGGGGTGGCACAGATGCAGGAGAGGGTTCTCCGTCTGGGGATGTTGGCGTGGAGCGTCCCGGAGACAGCCGTGGTGCAGCTGGAGGTTCTCGTGTCGGCGTGGAGCAGCAGCAGCAGCAGCAATCGCCGCCGGTGTCTGCCCTTCACCTCCTCGGTCTTCCTCTCCCCGACCGCCCGCCTACACCTCCTCTGCCGCCGCCTCCCCTGCTATTCTACGGCCCTATGTTTTCTCCGGGACTCGTCTCCGGCATGTTTCCCCCCTTGTTCTCCTTCTTTGTCTCCTAACCCGACGCCTCCGTCCCACTTCTGGTCTCGCTGTCCCTCTCGTGCTCGTCCGGTCTCTCATGTTCAACATTCTCACCATATGTTGCTCCATTCTGACACGTCTCATCCTCCCCTCCTCCCTTCGCCTCCTCCATCGTCGCTTGTTGTCGCTCCGCCTCCTCTGTCTGACTTCCTCCGTACTGCTAGCCCTCTTGTTCCTCGAGTCCTCACATCCCTCGTTACCGACCCATCCGTTTCTCTCTCCAGTCTTGACGCTCTTGTCTCTATTGTCGCCAACTTTGCCTCTACCCACCGCCTTGACAACACCATCGCTCTGGTCTCTGACCCTGCCCTTCCTCCGTCCGTCGGGAGTGCTTCTGCCCTTGGCAGTGACGTTCTGGAGGATCGGCAGTACGAGCTTGCTTTCCTGTCCGAGGCCGTGCCTCATCTGTGCTCCATGCTGCTTGTCTCTGAGGATAACCCTGATGCCTTCGAAATCCCGACCCCTTGCACTTACGCTGAGGCAACCTCGGGACTCTGGGCCTCCAAGTGGATAGCTGCCATGGACGCGGAGATAGCATCTTGGAGATCCACCGGCACCTACGCCGATGTAGTTCCCCCACATGGGGTGAACGTAGTCGATGGTCGGTGGCTATTCAAGGTGAAGCGCCCGACTGGAGAGCCGCCGGTGTTCAAGGCGTGCTACGTTGCGAGAGGCTTCAGTTAGCGTGTGGGTGTTGACTTCTTCAGACCTTTGCCCCAACCCAGAAGATTACTAATCTTCGGGCACTGCTACACGTAGTAGCATAGCGTGACTACAAGCTGCACTCTCTCAACTTCTCGACAGCGTTTCTTCAGGGCAGTCTGCGCGAGCAGGTCTACCTGCTCCGCCCGCCAGGCTTCACCGGCACCTTCACCCCGAGGAACCAGTGGCTCCTCCGGCGCTCGGTTTATGGCTTGCGACAGGCGCCCCGAGAGTTGCACAACACGATGCGTGCTACATTAGGTGACTTGCAGTTCTTCCCATCCTCTGCAGACCCTTTGCTCTTTGTTCATTCAGGCCAGACTCCATTCTACATCCTTGTCTACGTAGACAACCTGGTCTTCACTAATGCATACAGAGACGCACTGGCCTCAGTGAAGGCCGAGCTACTGAGAAGACACACCTGCACCGACTTAGAAGAGCTGCGCCGCTACCTTGGCCTGCAGATCTCCTAGGACAGAGCAACGCACACCATCACTCTTACACAGTCGCACTTGGTGTGCCAGGTCCTTCTGAGGTTCGGTCTTCAGTTCTCCTCCGCACAGCCCACACCTCTGCCAGTAGACCACAAGCTGTCGGCTCCACTCCCTGACAAGTCATTAGACCCTAGTGGTCCGTACGCTGAGCTGCTGGGTTGCCTCATGTACCTGATGACTTGCACGCGTCCAGATATCGCATGCCCTCTCAGCATCCTGGCTCGCTTTGTGGCGACAGGCGGACACCGACCACAGCACTGTTCGGCCGCTAAGAGGGTTTTGCATTACCTAGCAAGTACATCGGGCATGGGGTTAGTGCTAGGAGGACGCAGGCCAGTGGTCCTTACAGGACACACAGATGCTTCGTGGGCGGACGATAATGAGATGCTCAGGTCCTCCCAAGGCTACTGCTTTAGCCTTGGTGCAGGTGCCTGTGAAATGTAACTTAGGTCGTTACTGTAGACTATACTGGTTTGTGCCTTAGAGGGTACAACACTCTAGTCCAAATACCCCTATATCATTCTATTCTAGTCACTTACTAATTCTGATATGGTATCAGAGTAGGTTAGGTCCCTCCCCCCCTAGCCCGTCCGAGCTTCCGCCCTAGGCCCTAGCCGTCGTCGCGACCGTTTCTAGTCGCCGTCGCGGCCGTTCCTAGCCGCCGTCGTGGCCCTTCCTAGCCGTCGCGGCTGTTCCTACCCGTCGTCGCGGCTATTCCTACCCGCCGTCGCGGCCGCCCCTAGTCGCCATCGCGGTCGTTCCTAGCCGTCGCGGCAGTTTCTACCCGCTGTCGCGGCCGTTCCTAGCCGTCGCGGCCGTTCCTAGCTGCAGCCGCGGCCCTTCCTAGCCGTCCCAAGGCCGTTCCTAGCTGCCGTCGCTGCCGTTCCTAGTCGCCATCGCAGCCGTTTCCCGCCGGCGCGGCCGATCCTAGTCGCCGTCGCGGCCGTTTCTAGCCATCGCGGTCATTTCTACTCGCCGTCGCGGCCGTTCCTAGCCGTCGCCGCGGCCGTTCCTAGCCATCTCGCGGCCGTTCCTAGCCGCCGCCGCGGCCGTCCCTAGCTGTCGCGCCCGTTCCTAGCCGCCGTCGCGACCGCCCTGCCCAGCCTCCAGAGTCTTCACGCCCGCACCTAGCTGGCCCCGTCGCGCCTGCTCCTAGCCGGCCCCGTCGCGCCCGCTCCTCGTCGGCCCCGTGCCCGCTCCTTGCCGGCCCCTCGCGTCCGCCGCCCGCTTGCCCCGCGGTCGTTTGTCGCCGGCCCGCCGCCGGCTCGTGCCCGGCCCGTTCTGCCCGACCAGCACCGCCCTGCACCCCCCCTACCCCAGTACCGCTTTGCACCGCACTATACCGCTTTGCACTACACTGTACCGCTTTGCACCGCACCGTACCGCTTTGCACCGCACTGTACCATGCTGCACCGCACTGCACCGCACGGCGCCGCCCTGCATCGTTCCTGATGGCGGAGGTGCTTTGCTTTGATGCTGAGGGCCAGCCGATTGAGTTTGAGGCGTGGCTGGCCGACCTCCGCCGCCACCTCACGGGTCAGCGGCAGGATGGCCACTCGCTGTCTGTCCACCTTGACGGTATGCTCCCCTGCCCTGACCCCCCTGCTGCGCTGCCCACTGACCCCTCGTCTGCTGAGCGTGAGTCCGCTGCGGCCGCTGCCCTTGCTCGCTCCGTCAGGCTGTCGCGTGATGCTGTCGCACAGCTTGCTATCAGCCATGCCCTCCCCCTGTCTGAGCGCCCTCGCATGAGGTCCATCACCACTGCCCAGGCTTTCCTAGATGCTGTTGTCCAGCGCTATTCCACCCCGCCCACTGCCTCGGTAGGTCGCTTGATCCTCCCCATACTCTTCCCTGACCTTGCGTCGTTCCCCACTGTCGCTGACCTGGCCGCCCATCTGCGCACGATAGACGAGACCTGGCGCGCTGCCTGCACTGACACACAACTTCGCGCTCACCAGCCGCCCCTCTGCTCTACTCTCTACCTGCTGGCCACCCGCCTCCCTGACCACCTTGCCACTGCCACTGACCTTGACTTTGTACTGTCCTATATACATCTATCTATATTTACTCAGACAGGACTTGTGTCCTTTCCCAGTGGCCAGACTAGTAGTGCCGCCCTGGTCTTGTTCTTGTCTTGCCTATACTCCTTTTGACTGGTCTTTAGACCCTTGTCTCAGTGGCTGGACTAGTAGTGCCGCCCTGAGCTGCTTGTTCAGGATTTGCCCCTATGCAGTCTAGGGGGTGTGTCAAATATATGTATAACTCATATTTGTATAGACTGTATAGGGTCACCTCTTAGAGGGTACAACACTCTTAGGTATATACACTTGTTCTCTCCCTCTATGCAATTATTCAGTTTTTCCTTTGAGAGAAACACCCGTTGAAAGGATACAGGTGCCTTCTATTCGCCTATATCTTCTATTCGCCTATATCTTCTATCCGGGTGATGACGGTAATAAGAATGAGGAAGCCGCAAGTCCATCAGTCACATCCCGTTGCTCCCGGTTACCCCGCCATTCACTCCTTCCTCGCATGGTCCCACCCCGTGTACACAAACTCTTTGGCCTCCTCCCGCGCCTTCCACGCAGCTGCAGCAGCTGCCACGGCCAGCAGGGCAAGCGGCACGCGGGCACGCAGGGAGGTGGAGGCGGCAGCAGCAGCAGCGGCGAGCAGGGAGAGCGGTGGCAGCAGCAGCTGCGCTCGCTGCAGGGCGGAGAGGGCGGAGGAGCAGGAGGTGCAGTGCGCTGTGTGGGATGCCAGGCGGTCCAGCACCACCTCCTTGGGGAGAGGCTGGGGCGGCAGCGACACGCCTGAGAAGGCTGGCGGGTAGGCCACAGCGCCACCTGGTGGGGGGGGGAAGCAGGGATGTGAAACACATGAAGATTGGGGGATGCTGGACGCCAGGTGGTCCAGCCCCACCTCCTTGGGCTCACGCAGGGGGGGGGGCGACATGCCCGACAAAGCAGGCGGGTAGGCCGCCGCTCCACCTGCTTGGGATTTGGGGGGAGGGGGGGGTGAGGGGGGGTTTGAGTGGTGTGAGAGAGAACCACAGACGCGGGTGAAGGTGGGCAGGGGGGAGAGAGACGTCTGAGAAGGCTGGCGGGTAAGGTCACTGTGCCACCTCATTGTGGGGGAGAGCCAGCAGGTGGAGCAGGGAGAAGCAAGGCAGAGGGTCAGTGAGTGGGGCAGGGCTTTGCGCAAGCGACAGAGGGCGGTGGGTAGAAACGGGGAACACATGAATCCCATCCGTGCCATCCCACCCGCCGGCTCTCCCTTCCATTACTTATACCCACGCGTCGGCTAAACCAATAGATGCACGGATGCATGGATGCATGGGTGCATGGATGCATGGATGCATGGGTGCATGGGTGCATAGATGCAAGGATGAATGGGTGCATGGGTGCATGGATGCATGGATGCATGGATGCATGGGTGCATGGATGCATGGGTGCATGGATTCATGGGTGCATGGGTGCATGGATGCATGGATGCATGGATGCATGGATGCATGGATGCATGGGTGCATGGATGCATGGGTGCATGGATGCATGGATGCACGGGTGCATGGGTGCATAGATGCAAGGATGAATGGGTGCATGGCTGCATGGATGCATGGATGCATGGATGCATGGGTGCATGGATGCATGGGTGCATGGACGCATGGGTGCATGGATGCATGGATGCATGGATGCATGGGTGCATGGATGCATGGGTGCATGGATGCATGGATGCATGGGTGCATGGATGCATGGGTGCAAGGATGCATGGATGCATGGGTGCATGGGTGTATGGGTGCACGGATGCATGGATGCATGGATGCATGGACGCATGGGTGCATGGATGCATGGGTGCATGGATGCATGGATGCATGGATGCATGGATGCATGGGTGCATGGATGCATGGGTGCATGGACGCATGGGTGCATGGATGCATGGATGCATGGATGCATGGGTGCATGGATGCATGGGTGCATGGATGCATGGATGCATGGGTGCATGGGTGCATGGATGCATGGGTGCATGGATGCATGGATGCATGGGTGCATGGATGCATGGGTGCATGGATGCATGGGTGCATGGGTGCATGGGTGCATAGATGCATGGGTGCGTGGATGCATGGTCGCATGGATGCATGGGTGCATGGATGCATGGGTGCATGCATGCATGGGTGCATGGGTGCATGGATGCATAGGCGCATGGATGCATGCACGCATGGATGCATGGATGCATGGGTGCATGGATGCATGGATGCATCGGTGCATGGATGCATGGATGCATGGGTGCATGGATGCATGGATGCATGGGTGCATGGATGCATGGATACATGGATGCATGGATGCATGGATGCATGGATGCATGGGTGCATGGATGCATGGGTGCATGGGTGCATGGATGCATGGATGCATGGGTGCATGGATACATGGGTGCATGCATGCATGGATGCATGGATGCAGGGGTGCATGGATACATGGGTGCATGAGAGCATGGATGCATGGATGCATGGATGCATGGGTGCATGGATGCATGGGTGCATGGATGCATGGATGCATGGATGCATGGGTGCATGGATGCATGGATTCATGGTTACATGGGTGCATGGATGCATGGATGCATGGGTGCATGGGTGCATGAGTGCATGGGTGCAAGGGTGCATGGATGCATGGATGCATGAGTGCATGGGTGCATGGATGCATGGACACATGGATGCACGGACGCATGGATGCATGGATGCATGGGTGCATGGGTGCATGGATGCAAGGATGCATGGGTACATGGGTGCATGGATGCATGGATGCATGGGTGCATGGGTGTATGGGTGCATGGATGCATGGATGCATAGATGCATGGGTGCATGGATGCATGGATGCATGGGTGCATGGATGCATGGGTGCATGGATGCATGGATGCATGGGTGCATGGATGCATGGATTCATGGGTACAAGGGTGCATGGATGCATGATGCATGGATGCATGGGTGCATGGGTGCATGAGTGCATGGGTGCATGGGTGCATGGATGCATGGATGCATGGGTGCATGGGTGCATGGATGCATGGACACATGGATGCATGGACGAAGGATGCATGGACGCATGGATGCATGGATGCATGGATGCATGGGTGCATGGGTGCATGGATGCAAGGATGCATGGGTACATGGGTGCATGGATGCATGGGTGCATGGGTGCATGGGTGCATGGGTGCATGGATGCATGGGTGCATGGATGCATGGGTGCATGGGTGCATGGGTGCATGGGTGCATGGGTGCATGGGTGCATGGATGCATGGGCGCATGGATGCATGGGTGCATGGATGCATGGGTGCATGGATGCATGGGTGCATGGGTGCATGGGTGCATGGATGCATGGGTGCGTGGATGCATGGTCGCATGGATGCATGGGTGCATGGATGCATGGGTGCATGCATGCATGGGTGCATGGGTGCATGGATGCATAGGCGCATGGATGCATGCACGCATGGATGCATGGGTGCATGGATGCATGGATGCATGGGTGCATGGATGCATGGATGCATCGGTGCATGGATGCATGGATGCATGGGTGCATGGATGCATGGATGCATGGGTGCATGAATGCATGGATACATGGATGCATGGATGCATGGATGCATGGATGCATGGGTGCATGGATGCATGGGTGCATGGGTGCATGGATGCATGGATGCATGGGTGCATGGATACATGGGTGCATGCATGCATGGATGCATGGATGCATGGGTGCATGGATACATGGGTGCATGAAAGCATGGATGCATGGATGCATGGATGCATGGGTGCATGGATGCATGGGTGCATGGATGCATGGATGCATGGATGCATGGGTGCATGGATGCATGGATTCATGGGTACATGGGTGCATGGATGCATGGATGCATGGGTGCATGGGTGCATGAGTGCATGGGTGCAAGGGTGCATGGATGCATGGATGCATGTGTGCATGGGTGCATGGATGCATGGACACATGGATGCATGGACGCATGGATGCATGGATGCATGGGTGCATGGGTGCATGGATGCAAGGATGCATGGGTACATGGGTGCATGGATGCATGGATGCATGGGTGCATGGGTGTATGGGTGCATGGATGCATGGATGCATAGATGCATGGGTGCATGGATGCATGGATGCATCGACACATGGGTGCAAGGGTGCATGGATGCATGGATGCATGGGTGCATGGATGCATGGGTGCATGGATACATGGGTGCATGGATGCATGTATGCATGGATGCATGGATGCATGGATGCATGGATGCATGGATGCATGGATGCACGGATGCATGGATGCCGGCTGCATGGATGCATGGACGCATGGGTGCATGGGTGCATCGATGCATGGATGCATGGGTGCATGGGTGCATGGATGCATGGGTGAAAGGATGCAAGGGTGCATGGATGCATGGATGCATGGATGCATGGGTGCATGGGTGCATGGGTGCATAGATGCATGGGTGCATGGATGCATGGGTGCAAGATGCATGGATGCATGGGTGCATGGGTGCATGGATGCATGGGTGCATGGATGCATGGGTGCAAGGATGCATGGATGCATGGGTGCATGGGTGTATGGGTGCACGGATGCATGGATGCATGGATGCATGGACGCATGGGTGCATGGATGCATGGGTGCATGGATGCATGGGTGCATGGATGCATGGGTGCATGGATGCATGGATGCATGGATGCATGGGTGCACGGATGCATGGATGCATGGGTGCATGGATGCATGGTTGAACGGGTGCATGGGTGCAAGGATGCATGGGTGCATGGATGCATGGGTGCATGGGTGCATGGATGCATGGGTGCACGGATGCATGGGTGCAAGGATGCATGGATGCATGGGTGCATGGGTGCATGGATGCATGGATGCATGGGTGCATGGGTGCATAGATGCAAGGATGAATGGGTGCATGGGTGCATGGATGCATGGATGCATGGATGCATGGGTGCATGGATGCATGGGTGCATGGATTCATGGGTGCATGGGTGCATGGATGCATGGGTGCATGGATGCATGGATGCATGGATGCATGGATGCATGGGTGCATGGATGCATGGGTGCATGGACGCATGGGTGCATGGATGCATGGATGCATGGATGCATGGGTGCATGGATGCATGGGTGCATGGATGCATGGATGCATGGGTGCATGGGTGCATGGATGCATGGGTGCATGGATGCATGGATGCATGGGTGCATGGATGCATGGGTGCATGGATGCATGGGTGCATGGGTGCATGGGTGCATAGATGCATGGGTGCGTGGATGCATGGTCGCATGGATGCATGGGTGCATGGATGCATGGGTGCATGCATGCATGGGTGCATGGGTGCATGGATGCATAGGCGCATGGATGCATGCACGCATGGATGCATGGATGCATGGGTGCATGGATGCATGGATGCATCGGTGCATGGATGCATGGATGCATGGGTGCATGGATGCATGGATGCATGGGTGCATGGATGCATGGATACATGGATGCATGGATGCATGGATGCATGGATGCATGGGTGCATGGATGCATGGGTGCATGGGTGCATGGATGCATGGATGCATGGGTGCATGGATACATGGGTGCATGCATGCATGGATGCATGGATGCAGGGGTGCATGGATACATGGGTGCATGAGAGCATGGATGCATGGATGCATGGATGCATGGGTGCATGGATGCATGGGTGCATGGATGCATGGATGCATGGATGCATGGGTGCATGGATGCATGGATTCATGGTTACATGGGTGCATGGATGCATGGGTGCATGGGTGCATGAGTGCATGGGTGCAAGGGTGCATGGATGCATGGATGCATGAGTGCATG